GACAAGGTTTTGTACCTGATGATGACAAAACTTTGTCGAAACGTTGTACATTTGCTGTTATGTTAAACTTATATTAAAGTTTTTCTTCATTACCCATTCAAGCCGTCTCTAGACATTATTAGTCTCAAAGTGGGTTCCTCGTCACCGAATTTGAAAACATACGATCAGTTTCATCAATAACATGATAGCATTCCACGTCGCCTTGAGGAAGTTATTATAGTACGAAAAGGACCAACCAAGTACTGAATGTTTAATTTGAACTGATATAAGGCTACAGACGATATAAATAAAAAAATGATGTTATATTTTGTCATTATACATATATTTTGGTAAGGTTTTGTTGTGATAGATGAAATGTTGAATTACACATCGTTCTACAGGTGTCTGATAAAATGTTTTTCTATTGTATTAAATCGTTCATAATGTTCATAGAACCTGTCTCATTTACAAAGTACATATGTAAATGTTTAATATAACACGTATTTCTTAGTTTGACAGCGCTAAATATATCTATATTCTTAATAATATTCATCTCATTTGTTACAGAATATGCAAATATTTGGCCAAGACTGTAGATTAAACCCAGTAGACTGTGCTATATGTAGTTTACTATTAAAGGCTATTATGGCACGTCACAGAAAAAACCGCTGGGAGTTGTTATCTTTGTCACGCATTTCTGCAACTACTTGTATAGAAGAAAGCTCAATATTACAATATGGTGTGTACATATTTATGTTATTTGCACATTACCCTTTATGATTTTCTGAAATAAGCTGTAATGTTTCTTTTATATATTATATTTTAATTTATTTACAGAGCATGAGTTAAACGAGTAACATTAGTTTAGTTGCTTTAGTTCAGGGTTTTTATTTGTTACTTTGTTGTATCATTTCAGTGATTTGACTTTTTTCTTGCAGTTATCTTGTTCAATGAAAAGTTCTCTTACAGATGTAAATGAAAATAGAATGTTATTACTCCTATAAGGTGCCAGGGCTAAGAACAGACAGTGGCTTATAGATTCAGTTACTCTTCCAGAAAACCAGCATGGGGGTTATAGTATACAGTAAAAAAATCCTAGGGTCAGACTCTGCTTCTGGACTTAAGGTTGACTCTCCTGAAATGAGTATTTTTGAAGACTTGCTTCAATGGCATTAAACAGAGTTTAGTACTGCTACTGCTCAGTAAAGGTCGTATTGACTGTTTTATCACGGGTTGATAGTTTCATACCAAACTTGAGTTGTTATTACGTTTCATTTTTCTTTGGAATGTTTTTAAAAGATGCCATTGGAGTAATATATACATTCACCTGGCATTATCCCAGGAATAAACTTCTAATCCCCCAAACCAACACTCAGACACTTATAGCGGAGCTGACCTTCTCTGCCCTTATGTAACTTGATTGCATAAATGTTATTCAAGCCTGTCAGACTAAGTGTGCAGTGTTTCTTACTATGGACGACATCATATGTTTGTCGAGAAGTGGGATGATCACAAAAATGGCGGTAGCTTCCAGCTTCTAGTATTATGGAAGAAGATACAGACCAGCTAGAGTTAGAGCTAACCAACACTTTGGCTCTTGCTCCATGGGATACAAAGAACACCAGGCATTAACTTACAACTACTATGTCAAACGATGCATGCGTTTATTTTTGTTGCTGGGTTCTGAGAAGATTCGTTCAACCCCGAAGCTACTTTATTTTGTATAGTGACCAATAGAACATTGGACTTAGATAGAGTCACACCTTCAGTGGGACCACAAAGTCAAGAAGCTTAAACACATTTCTCCAGTACTGCTGTAATTGGATTAATTTATTTTACAATTTTGGCTTGAGTTTTATTTGCGTAAACCAATTAGACAGCATATATTTTGTGTGGTGAACAGTAAGTTCTTAATTCCTTCTTTCAGCTTTCATTTTGTTTGAAACCAGTTGTAATAGTTTATTTTACTTTTGTTTGAAATGATTTTAATCTTGCTGTTTTCTTTTGGGTGCGGCATATGCATAAATACACACGCACACATATATATATATATATTGAGATGTATCGTATGATATTTCTATACTAATGTAGTGCTGGATTTAGTTTTGCCTCCTCAGATGCTTGTTTATACGTCTGTGTATCTGTATGCATTCTTTATGTGTGTCTTATAACATAGCTGATATGGTGTTGACTTCCAAAGAGTATGAATGATCGGCCCTTGGTTAATGTTTCAAATCAAATAAATGATTAAAGTGCGAACTTTCATATTTATACAATTAAAAGTGGAAGCCTTTGACAGCTTTAATAAAATTTGCATTTTAGTTATTTATTCGAGTAAATTTGACTTTGAAATCCCTTCTTGCAGTTTTACTTCCCCTGTGTGTGTAACCCAATCTTTCCATAGCATTTTAAGCTCAATTCTCTGTTATTTGTGTAGTGTAGTATTCTTATTTTACTATCAATTTCATTCAACGTGCTCGTCCGTTCAGTTAGTTCACTATTGTGTTTTCTTCAGACACTTATGTTTATGAAGAAATGAATATTTTGCTTATGTTGATGTACAACCTTATATTATACCTTATATGTGCCTCCTTATAAGTGTCATTACAGTTAAATTCGCCTATTAAATCCTTCAAGTTAGTCAGCTTATCTGTGAGATAATTATTCCATAAACTAGGTTTACCATAATAATCAGGCTTTAAGATAAATATTATTTCTAGGTAAATACAGTAACGTGTTTTGTTTTCAAGCTTTAATTATGATCAATGTTATTGCTGTCAAGCTTTGATATTTATGAATGCGTTTTATCATGCATACCGCAGAGGATAAAACATTTAAAAAAGAAATTGAAGTGTAACAATACTGTCTACTGTTAAGTTCTTTTATTTATGTACTGTATATAACGCAGAAGCTAAAGCACTTAGAAGAGACAAACTGAAAAAGAAGAGTTTTCGTTCTCTTTCGTCCTACTGAGTATTGTATTTCCGTAGGGTCCGCGAAAGTGTTTTGTTTCAAGAGTAAATACAACCAAAATTAAGAGTAACAAACACTTTTATTTCTTGCTTTTGAAGTTCATATCTCATGCTGTGTTGTAGCCTACAGTGTGCATAATTATTCTCGTGATTCATGGCATGTGCACGTTTTACTGACGTCACGACAGTACATATTGCAACGTTAAACGTCCCTTATGTGTGTCTACTGACTGACTTAGATTCTTACTTTATAGTGGTGCGAGTGCTTAAAATAGGTGACCCTTCCAGGCGGTCTTCGGCTCCCTTTCGGGAAATTAGGCCAGTTAAAAGTAAAGTGTTTAAAAATTATACCACAGTTATTGTTGTGTTTCATCAAATTTACTACCACAGAAAATATAAAAACAGATTTTGAATATTACCTTGTTAGATGCAATGGAAATTTGAACGGAATTTTGACGGCAGTTGGTACATACAAACTCTAATTAAGTTGTGATGTTTTATTATAACGATTATAGAAGAAATATGGGTTTGACCAGTTCATATCAATATCAGCAAATATGTTCGAGCTATAATAATCATGACTGTTTCTTCCAACACCAGATGCTATCTGAATCAATGCTGGAAGAACTTAAAAAATGTTTCATGGAGGCGTATGACGATAACAAGGACGGAAAGATTGAAATTAGAGAGGTAGGCGGCGCTATACTAGCACTTCATTTACCGTGTTATTTGAATATTCCATAAAAATATTGTTTATGTTCAAAACATAAGTTACATATACGTTTATAACCATCAAAAAACATATTTTTAATATTATAGTAACAAAAAATTATTCTTAAACTTTTCCCAAATCTAAAAGTATTTTGTTATGGACTTATTATTATTATAAAATAAAGTGAATCTCTAGGAAAAATCCAGAAATAGTTACATGCAATGTTATCTTTAGAAAGTCAAGTCTTTTTATTATAACAAAAATAATTTTCTATTTTTATCACCAAAAGCTTCTTACTATCCGTTTGAAAAGAATTCGATAATCTCTCTATTCGTAACAAAATAATTTAGTTTCCAATTTTAGCTTTCTCAAAAATTCAATAATCGTTCTTTCTATGACAATAATAACTTAGTTTTCATTATTTTAGCTTGTTTAAAGATTAAATAATCCTTCTCTCTCTGTAAAAATAATAATTTATATTTACCTTTGTAAGCTTGATCAAAGTTCTAATAATACCTCTTTCTTCAGCAATAATGACTTAGTTTTCCCAATTTTAGCTTGCTCAATTGCTTCCTCTTGAGGAGAGTTTCTTGTTGCTTTTTCGCTTTGACAATCCACTTGAGTCCAGCGTGGAATTCATGAAGGTGAACAAAAATTCTTTCATTTAAGTATCCTTCTATTTTTACTAAATTGCACTTCTCCTTTAGTCTTCTTTCATTTTATACTTGTCTTCAAGTTGCTTAAAATTCTTACATTATTCTAAACACTGAAAGGAAACGTTTGTTATCTTTATATGGTTTCTTGTATTTAGCTTGAATTATATGTACTATTCAAACAACAGCTATTAAAATAGCTTAAGATGTCAGAGAACATTATTATTTTATACGTATATTATTTTCGTAAAAAATGCTTAACGCAGAACAATGTAACAAGAGAAATAAAAAAACAAATATTAGAAATGCCATTCTAAATTTAATGATCATTAAACAGGGTAATTGTATTTCCGTGCTACCGTGAGTAATGAAACATTGTAAATGCGCACTCGCATTTACAGATGATGAAGTGAAAAAAACAATGACAGACAGTTACATTAAGAATGTTTCTGTTGTCTCTTGTTGCTTAATAGACAATACATACTAGTTTGATACACGTAGTACTGGTAGTATAGTTGATAAAGAGTATATATTATATAGTTATCTGGAACACTAGCACTTAAATATGTTCATACTATTGTTTCGTAGACTAGTTCTTGAATGTAAACATTTAAGCCGACTAGCCACTTTATTAGGATCCCTCCCCCATATAGTTGTATAACTGTTCATTTATTTGGATGCACAAAATAAGAGTGGCAAATTACAGAGAATATGTCTGCTGTTAGGAAATACTGATGTCTTTAGTTGTTGGTGAATGACCGATGAAAAACAAAATTGGAGAATTTGTATTTATGTCAAAACTCCTAAGGCTATGAGCTGCCGTACCTAATTTGGAACTACTGACGAGAGGGAAGACAGCTGGTCAGCAGCACCCTTCTACCCAACATTCTATAAAGCACCCACAGCTTAAATTGCTGTTAATATTTTTTATGTATCGCACGGATTCGAATCCATCTTGTCAGCTCGGAAGTTCAGCGCAGAAGCATTTAAAGTGCTGCAGACCTCAAAGTGTACCAGTTGACCGATTCATCAACATTTATTGGGAATCAGTGGTATCTTCAACTATAAATAAACGAATTAAATTGAATTGAGAAAGTTGACAACGATGTTTCTATAAAGGTAATCAAGACATTGTATAGTAAAGACAATGTGTCTGAACTATTGACGTTAAAATAAAAGATTAAAATACACAAGGAAGCAGTCGCTCTTAACTACAAATTCACAGGTAAGTAAAGTAGTTTAATCAACTCTGTATATTTTACTGATCACGTGATGGTATAACCATCAGATTAAAACCATAAAAACTGTTACTATCACCTGAACAGTCAAGTACACATGCTTAGCGATGACCATAATGAACATAAATAAAAATAGGGGTCACTGATGAGGAGTGGAATTCTCCGAAACTAGTCTGGCCAACAGACACACCCCCAATGAAAGAATAGACCATTCCAAG